TCAAGGATGGGTTATTACACAGATAACGTTATTTTTCCATCTTTACTAGTTCTTAGGAGCAAAGTCTGTAAATTAAGGAGTCTCTCCAGGAGTTTCCTGTGCTCCAGGGAACAGTGTCATCCCTCTTCCCAGAATTGTCTAGAAGGCAGCAAATCAAAGGTCTCTGATGTGCCAGGGCCCTCAAGGCAGCCTGGGGTTTCCCTTCTTACAAAGCAGTTTAATTTCCCGACAATAATAAAACAAGATTGTTATGTGAATCCTCGATTTAAGGTATCCTGGACTAAGGCTTACAATAGGCCTATAACACGCATCTTCCTCCCATCACAGTGGATCTAGTCCCCGCTTTGTTGGCAAAATCATGAAGTCGAAAATTTGGAAAATGTTAAAAATCTATCTTAACTGCAGAGATTATTCCTAAAGCAGAGTTTCCGGGTAATATCCTTTACATACTCCCATCTATTTTGATTTTCGTCCAAGTATTTCTAAAACCTATAGTAGTTATGATGAGAAATTTATTCAGGAAAATGGAAGCCTGGTAACAAGTGACACGGCGAACAGCTCCCCCCGTGGCCGCAAGCCTGAACTGCACTTCCAGCAAGCCCAGAGTGGTTTGCAATCCTTGGAAAACACCTGGTGGCTGTCAGGTCAGGTCAGGCCAGAATTTACATGGCTCCCTCAGGAAAGATGATCCAAGTACGCTTAGAGACAAGCTCTCTCAACCAGTAAATAATAAAGGTTATAGAATTACAGAAGCTAAAACACAGAAGTGTGACAGACTGGCCAGGGCAGGCCTCCCACCCCATTGTGGAGACTGACTCTGACTCTGCCCATAGCTCTGGGTGCTACTGGCACCAGGTGGCTGTTCACTCCCACAACCCTCCACATCCTTTTGAAGCAAGTGAACACTGACCCTGAATCTGTAAGATGAAGATGGGTGAATTCTCTGGAAAGATGAGAAAAAGGGCACAGGTGGGAGCCAGGCCCCAAGGTAGATTAAAATCTACAAGGAACCCGGGGCAGAGAAACCCTGAGTTAGCACACAAAGCAAGGCAGCAGAGAGAGAGTAAATGGGAGCACTCTCACCAAAAGCAGCACAACAAGGGACCTTGAGAACCCCAGAGAGGCCGAGAGAACTTTCTAGCTCTAGGATCGTGTAGCCAGGTCAGACTTTGTTTCCTGCCCTTAATGAGTTTTTTTTTTTTTTTTTTTTTTTTTTTTGGTAAGATTATCTGAGAAAGAGAGGGTGGGAGCAGAGGGGCAGGGAGGGAGGAAGAATCTCAAGCAGACTCCACACAGAGCACGAGCCCAACTCGGGGCTCAATGCCAGGACTGGGAAATCATGACCTGAATGGAGACCAAGAGTTGGGCACTTGACTGACTGTGCCACTCAGGCGCCCTTACAGAGAACCGTTTATTCCAGCCAGCCTCTGAGTTTTCCCTTTTTGTAAGTTGGTAATACCTGAATCGGAAATGTCTAATCCTCTGCTTCTCTGGAAAGATCCTTGAAGACAGCAAGGTCACATGGCTGGCTAGTGATCGTTCTAGAACCAGATTTGCCCGATTCTCAATTTGCCAGGCTACCTGGTCTCCTTTAGGTATCAGCAGGCTGAGAAAGTTAGATCTGAAGTATTAAGCAGTATTCCAATACAGGCTGGCTTTATTATGAAAGTCCTAAATTAAACCATGCTTACTTGCACATAAAAATGCACCTGCTACGAATGTTGCTTTCTGGTGGTTCAACTTGGCCAAGGCTTAATTAAGGTTCTAACCAAACACAGAGAAGAGCAGCCTAAAAACTGCTGGTGTTCACAAGATGAGTAACATACCCTAATTCTTGTATATCCTATTTGCCTTCTGGGACCTATCTTGAATTGGCATATTTACATGGACACATCAAGAATTTAGGTAAGCCTAATTTAACATTTGTCAAGTTCACTTTAAAATATTAAATAATATTAATACATTGTTAATATTTAATACAAATATTAAATTTAGACTATTTTTAAGCCTTTAAGAGGACAGATAGTATAGAACCAGAGAAAAGTGAATCATAGGGAGAAATTACCACCGCTTCCTATGTAGGTCTTCTGAGAAACAGTGAAGGGGATGTGTGGTAATGGCTCCCCATATACCTGGGGGGGTATGGCATTTACACATGGGATATGGACTCCTATTGCAGTGAGTACTTACGTGAGCCAGGAGCCTTCTTTTACCCTTCTTGAGCGTTAAAAATATGGAAAGCAGACAAGAAAGGTGTTGTTCTGAACACTGAGGAATATGCAGTGGCCTAGCCTGCCACACTGTTTGTTCCATTTGGAACTAGGCTGTCACAGGGAGTCCCCGGTGCCCTAGGCTTTCGGTGTAGGCTGGTTCTGAATTCCCAAATGTTGTGGATTGGTTAAAAGTGAGCTCTAGGTATCCTCCCTGTGGTTGACCTAGAATTGGTCTTCCAGTCATTCTACCAGCTGGGTGGGTTTAGCGCTTGAGGAAGGAATGGAAGTATAGTGTGTGTTACAATTAAAATTTGTCAACCAAGAGTAGATATCTATTATTAAAGTTTTGGTATACCTTCAGGAAAAGTTTAAGTTTAAATTAAGTCAAATAGTTAAAGATATCAGAATAATAAGTTTATTCTGTCTGTATTTCTAAGAAACACTAACAATTACAATAATAAAATCCCTATTCTAGACTATCACATATTCACTGAAGACACTATCTTTTACAGTGTCAGAAAACTCGTTTCTTTTACATAGGTATGATAGAATTAAAATTCTGGTTTGGTCTTCTCACAAAGAAAATTGGGTATAATTTTTTTTTGTGCTTAAATAATTTTACATTATTAGGGCACCTGGATGGCTCAGTTGGTTAAGTGTCTGACTCTTGACTTCAGATTAGGTCATGATCTCAGAATCGTGGGATCGAGCCCTGCATTGGGCTCTGTGCTCAGCGGAGAGTCTGCTGGAGATCCTCTCTCCATCTCTCTCTGCCCCTACCTCCCACCATTCTCTTTCTCTCTCTCAAATAAATAAAACTTTAAAAAATAATTTTACATTAAAATGTTTTCAAGGACTTCACTGGCCTAAAATAAAAATGTTCTGACATTTGATTTAGAACTAGTTATTTTTACACTTTCCTTCTCTGACCAGAAATATGATTTGAGACTGTACCTATTTCCCCCAAGATGCCTATGTGCTTCTTTGGTACACACTAAATACCATGTAAGAGAAAGTCTTGTAAAATCACATAGTGTAAAAAAAATAGGACACAGCAGGATTAAATGTGACCTCAGGACATTAGACATTTTCAGCTCTGAAACTACTACAGGGAGCCAACAACAGTGGTTCCTTTTGCCCACTGCTGACTCCTCTGTGCACCCTTGAGACCAGGAGTTGGCCTGTAATACCATAGGCCCATAAAAGGAATAGACTGCCTTAGGGGGTAACTGATTCTAAGACCTGAGGCAGGAAAAAAAAATCAAAACATGTCTGGAGCATACTGTTGTCTTCAGATACTATGGATACTTTTAGAAATGTCAGAGTCCTCAAAGGACATTGGCATCAACATAATGGGGCTTCCTATTGACCAACTGTGAGACTTTAGGCATCAAATTCAAGCACAGCAAGTTAATTGTAATACAAGAGTAGGCTGTGATACAAGTTTAATTTTTTGGTAAGTAGGGGAGTGTTCATATTGGGTATTTTTTTTTAAAGATTTTATTTACTTATTTGAGAGAGAGAGAGAAAGAGAGCACAAACAAGGCAAGGGCAGAGGGAGAGGGAGAAGCAGACTCCCTGCTGAGCAGGGAGCCTGACATGGAACTCCATCCCAGGACTCTGGAATCATGAGCTGGGCTGAAGGCAGATGCTTAACTGAGTCACACAGACACCCCCATAGTGAGTATTTTATTCTTTCTAATAATTTTGTCTGTTTACAATATTTACATATATAGTTATCTCTAACTGGGTAAGCATCAAAGAAAATACATGGAACTTGGAACTTGGCCAAGCGATCCTGGCAGAAGGTACTAAAATAATAAATAGAGTGGATTTATTAGCCTAAGTAATAGGAGGTATGGTGAGCACAAATCATAACCAGGTAGCAGGTGGCCTAGGTGGTCATATATAATAATAAAGGAAGAGAGACAATTCAACACTGTATTTTCAAACATGAATTATTCAATGTCCTGAAGAGAGAAGTTAACTACATAACCTAAATCCCTCACTACCAAGAAATGAAAGCCCTAGAATCAAGATTCCCAATAAGGAATAAAGCCATTTTAAATAATAAAAACAGAATAAATCAAAATGCTCAAGTGACAAGCCAAAAGATTAGACTTGTCAGCCATGCAAAGCTTAATACACCATAACTGCAAGATACCAAGTGTCAAACATTTATAAGAAGAGGAATTAAAAGTTTACCACACACACACAAAACAAACAAAAAAACCAAGCTCGGCATGGTGAGTCAGGTTTGAATTACCCCAATCTACTACACAATCAGACCAGATCGTGTCTAGACCAACATTCATCTGGTCATCTGCTCAATAACCCAGATCCTCTCTTTTTCCTTCATTTCTGGTCAGACTACTGAAACTCAGGAAAGTACTAATACTGAGACATTCAGAACAGATCACATTAAGAATCATATCACACTAGGAAGTTATTAAGTATGGAAATAACAAGACATTACCTAAACCATGGTCTTCATGTCTTAGAATAGGTTGAAATGAATGCACATTAACACATTTTATAATCACTGCTTACATATGTCTTTCACCAGCTGTTTAAAGTGTTATTTCAAAAGACTCATCCATACTAGATTTGAACTCACAGTTTAAAATTTTTCAGAAAATTGAATTAATCTTGGAATTAACATTTATTTATTTATTTTGTTTTGTTTTGTTTTTTTTTTTTGGAATTAACATTTAAATGCTCAGGATAATTTGGGGTTCCTTGATTTTTTCTGGTATGAATTTAATGAAGCAACTTTTTTTTTTAAAAAAAGACTTTATTTATTTATTCATGAGAGACAGAGAGAGAGAGAGGCAGAGACATAGGCAAAGGGAGAAGCAGGCTCCATGCAGGGAGCCCGACGTGGTACTCAATCCCAGGTCTCCAGAATCACTCCCTTGGCTGAATGCAGCACTAAATTGCTGAGCCACCGGGGCTGCCCTAATGAAGCAACTCTTAAATGAAGTACATATAGTTTTGGGTATTCTTCACATTTAAAAGTGCCTCAGACAATGAAAGATTCTTTATTATTTTAAAAATTCATAATTCAGAAGAGAAAGTCTGTAATTATAGAATCCTAACAGCCCCTGCTAGAATCCAAAAGAAGTGATTTTAAAAGAACTTAAGACAAAGCTTGAGTTGTCTGTTTCTACCAAACAGTCATCATTTGCTTCACTTTAAAGACAAATGAATCATAATTTAGTAGGAATTACATTTCCATATTAACCACTTGGGTAGATGCCATGATATATGATTGAGATTACTGTACATTCTCCTTCTAGCCACACACAGGATTTAAGTTGTGTTGAAGGTACATCTCCTAATGATACAAAGAATCTGAAGGACAAAATGTTTGCTCAAGAAAACAGGGAAAACTCAAAAGATCAATACTTCTGAAAGCTACAGTTTAACCTTCAGAAAGTTGCCAGATTTTTTAGGAATACCATGGAATTGTAAGGATACCTCTCAAAGGAGGAAAAGCATTAGTCACATCTAATCTGACACATGAGAATAAACAAAAATATTAGAAAAATCACATGATTTTGGCAAAGCATAATAAATATTCACTACACTTTGCACATCTTGGGTGAAGAAGGAAAAAAGAGTTCATCCAACTTGTTAGCTTTATGAAGGCTACTTTCTGGGCATTTGTTTCTGAGTGAATGGAGGAAGCATTCTCGGGAAGATCCAACCCCCAGTTAAAAAAAATAATAATAATAAATAAAGGAGAACAAAGCCAAAAAAACAAACAACACCCCCCCCCAAAAAAAAAACCTAGAAACATCTTTGGGAATACAAGTATTCCATATGCAGCAAAATTAAGCACAATGTCAATTCAGGTGCTGGTATCATGTTGCCTGACATTGATTACACAACTTTTCAAGTCACGAAGATAAACCTGAAATTATAAAACCTGTTGGGGAAGCTGATAATTCAAAATGGTACTCAATATGGCCAAGAGTTCTGCACATATATAAACACCATGTCGATATCCTGAAGGTGGTACGTGGAGTTGGTGTGGCTGAAATTTGATCAGTAAGCTTTTCATGATTAAGGTTTTTTTCTCATTTCTTCATCCCAATCAAAATCCAATGCTTCGTCATCTAGTTCTGATAAAGAAAAGAGAGATTTTTTGGAAAGAATCAATCTCTCAGTGGACCCTTCCAGCTGAAAAGTTTTCCTTTTCCTGCCAAGCACTGTAGCCACAGCCCCAGGGGGAGGGCTTGGGCCTCTCTCCACCCGGTTCTTACTTTCAGGAGGAAGAGGGGATTCTGATTTGGATTCAGAGGGGGAAGTAAAGGAGAAGTTTGCCAATCTGGCTAATGTGCAAGCATGAACCTTGCTGCTTTTGTTATGGCATGAGACCTCTTCCTTTCTGTCTCTTTGACAAGCAAGATGAGAATGCCCAGTCTGGTTCCCAAGCTCGAATTCAGGCTGGGTCACTCTCCCTTCAGGGCCATGTTTGCCTTTCTCTTTTGATCTGTCTTCCTCTGGTGCCTGCTGGGACTTCTCCTTTGCCTTATCCTGTGGCTGATTTGAGCTTCTGCTTCCCGAGGTAGACACCAACTTCTGTGGACCCTTCCCAGGCAGAGCAGCTTCTCTTCTTGTTCTATGGGCAATTCTAGCACTTGGAACTGCTACTTTAGTTGCATGAATCACAGAACTGTGGTCTTCCGGGGAGTGGATCAGTTTTGACTTCTGTTTGAAAGTAAATTTTGCCAGTTTGGCCAATGGGGGACCTGGACTCTCAACACTTTCAAGTTTGGGCTCTTCCAGCTGAGCAAGGGATTTTTGTCTCTTTTGTTTGGGAGTCTCCAATGTTCCTTGTGGGCTACATACAGGACTGGATGGAGCATGAGAAGGGTTTGTGGGCTGTAAAGGCACCCTGGCGGGGTTTCTGCACAACTCCTGGGCCCTTGCCTTGCGCAGCTGGTGCAGTTTCCTGGAGACATGATGGGTTAGCACTGAGTCCGACTCACCTACAGGTATTGCTGCTTCAGAAACTATTGCTGCTTTTGCCTCTTCACCTTCAACATGGTCTGGCCTCAACGGAGCTTCTGTCTCTCCTGGTGCTGAAAGCTGTCCAGTTTCCAATGCATTCCTTTGGCCTGGCTCACCCTTTTCTTTACCCTGAGATTTGTTCTTGAAGGTTTGCAAGGCCATTTTTCCTCCAATTGTTTTGGGAGATACAGGAAGAGTGTTTTTAGGTTCAGGCTGATAAGTTGCTATGGAGTCAAACCAATCCATACCGTCATCTTTCCTATTTTTGTACTCAGCTGAATGTTTTCTATTTGTTGATCTACTAGGACCCTGATGGGATGAGGGATTGGGACATGGGCTTCCCTCAGGACTGCTTCCAGTAAAGGATGTCAGCATGCTACAGTTTACTTCCTGTTGTGCTGACCAGATTCTGGACTTTGACACTTCTCCTGAATCACTTTTTGAGGATCCTGGGTTAGTCTCTACCTCCACTGCCTGTGGCTGGGATTGGTACACACTCTGATTCTGTAACCTGTAGCAGAGATAAATAAGGAAAACATGTATTGAAGATAATTTGCTTTAACCTTTCCATTTGCTTAGTCTCTGAGATGCCATCTAAAGGGCTTGAGTCCAACAAAATTCCAAGTAAATACCAAATACAGTCTCTTTACAGCAGCAGGAGAAAATTATCCTTTTTCATCAGTATAGAATCTAAATGATCCAATAATCATTCTAAAACCTAGTGAAATAAAGGAAATGAAATAACAGGTTTGTCTACTTTTTTTAGCTCTCACTGCAAGTCCATTTAAATCATTTAAGATCGTTTGAAGGTCAATGTAAAATGCTCATTCTTATCTCTCCTGTTAAACGTTCTGCTACGAGACAGACTTGTAGCTATTTGCACACTGGCCAATCACTGATCAAGTCGTTTCATAACTGGTTTGCAGATCAGAAACAAAGTGGAAGAGCAGAAATTATGATCTCCTCACGTCTCTACCTGAGTACTGAATGTTAGTGCACCTAGAAGTCACCTTCCTTGGGAGTAGAGACCATAATTCCTCTGTACCACAGTTCATAGTGTCCCTGTGGCATCATGCTCATGGGTACTCCTCCCCTAGGCAACTGTAACATCTTTCCTGCAGAGGCAGCCACGTTTCAAAATGTGCTCTGGGTAACTACTCTCTATCAAGTTGACACAGAGGTGAAATCTACTGACCTCCCAGAATGAAGGATCTGATCAGTGATATTCATTTTTAATCTTGGGCAGATTAGAAACATGAAATAATGCCAATGCCAGATGACCAATTTATAACAAAGATGATAGTTTCTCAAAAGGAAGTCCTTCAGAAAGCCCTTCCTAACAACCCAGAAATAGCTTCTCAGTGTAAGGGGCAACATGACCCTGTTTCCATGTGTTAAATTTGAAAAGGAACTAAACCAAAAAGAAGATGAGTAAATTATTCTAAAAATCATGTGTACTCATAGAAAAAGGCATAGAAGAAAATACATTAAATTTAAATGAATTTTAAATTTAAATATATTTAAATACATTAAAATGTTAATGGTAGGCCTCTCTGGGAAATAAGATTATAAGTGATTTTTGCTTTCTTAATTTATTACTGTTACTTTCCAAAATATAAGGAACATGTATTACCTCTTATGAACAGGAATAAACCCACAAAAAATTATTATAAAAATACTGGGTTATATTCACTCACTGTAGATTTGGACACATCAATACAGCAAAATTCATATTCATTGTAGTGATAACCAAACAAAAATAAAATAGCTTTCAAAATTACTACTATCTACTATGCTCCATAAAAATGTTCTAAAAGATAGGGAATTTTAGAGGGATAGAATAATTTAGCCCTACCATTTTAGTTTAATTCTGACTTTGGGAATTAAATTCTCTCTGATATAAAATGTCTGCAGTTTTACCAAACCTTCCTAAAATACAGCTTCTTTGCATTCTGTTTCCAGGTGGATATGAATGGCCACGATTTGAGGCTGGCCATCACTAGTAAGCATTTTCCAGAAGAAAAGTGTAATAAAAATACAAATAAGTTTTATTACTCATATATCATCCCCTTAAGGGATAAGAACTCTTTCCTAAGGGGATAAACCCATATGCTACTTATATGCTACTTGGACTCTTCTCACATGGTAAGACTGGCTTTAGATGTGTCTTGGAGGTCATTCACTTTCATTTGCAAAGTACCCGGTTTTGTGGCTTTGAGGATCAACACCCATTATGCCTTTGCATTTCAAAGACATACCAGAAGAAAAGCATATTTTAAGGTAGAATCCTGTTTTTTGTTTTTTTTTAGATCATTACCAATTCTTTTTTTTGTCTTCTTTCCCTCCAGGAGGGTCATTTTGAATTTTCTATCACATAACACTGATTCTGAGCTTCATATTCCTTTCCTTCTTGAATCCGGCATATGACAGCTTTTGGTAGTCCACATGACCAGTGGACTGGTCAGTCAAAATGAGCAGCTTCTCCAAAAGCCAAGCCAGCCCCACAGTAGGCCTGAAAAGGCCCAGCTATATCAAATCATAAAAGAACTGAAGGAACAGCTTTCATCTTAACACCATGTTCTGGATCATTAAAGACCCAGGAGACCAAAAGTAAAGTGGGTTGATTTCATACAGAGGGCAAGTTTACTGCAAGCTGGCACCTGGGTATCAGCAACACAAAGCCAGTCCCCACACTTCCCCAGGAAGGCTGTGCTGGAGTTTTAGGATTTTTGGAGAGAATGCTACTGCATGAAGGCAGCGAGCAAAAGGAGAAAAGCAGGAAAAGAGTTATCAAGGTTTTACTTATTCAATCAACAACCCCATGGCAATCCCCAAATCCTCCTTCAGCAGCTGCTCTGCTTCCGCATGCATCCATTTACTAGCTCCCAGCTTGAGGGCAATGCCAACTGCTAGACTCAGGGCATTGCAGGTCCATTTGTGTTGATCACAAAGATGCTCATATGGACACCTTTGCCATTGCCCAGTCACGTTTCACAGGTATGCACTCAACATCTAGCTTTTTAAAAGCTCATGTGTGCACGGAGCACGCAAACATTAAAGCTGGGCGAAAATTCTTTAGGTAATGCACATGCCATGTTCCTTCCCATGTGTCCACGTTTCAACAAATCATTAGAAAGCTGAGTTTTGAAACTCTGTTTTTGTCATTCTTGAGTTGTTACCCTGTGGGATGAGAAACAGATTTTCCTCTTTAACAAAATATATCATTCTCACTGGGAATTTTTTTAGTTTCTGAAATATGTAAAAATTTAAAAGGCATGAATTTGGGCATGTAGGGAAGGAAAACCATGATGCTGAGGGAGGGTCAAGAACTGTTACTAATGAACCAGGAGGGTACTAGTTATCTCCACTTGTCTAACTTTCGCCACATGCTAGCTTCAGCTGGCCTGAAAGCAGCCTGGGCCTCAGTTTTCTGTGATTTTCTTTCACCAGAGTTACATCATAAACATCACATATTTCTTATGCTTGGAAGAAAGCTTTAAAAACATTGAGAATAAAATTAAAATATTAATAAACTCTAAGATTCTTTTTTAAAAACATTTTATTTATTTATTCATGAGAGACGCAGAGAGAGAGAGAGAGAGAGAGAGAGAGAGAGAGAGTCAGAGACACAGGGAGGAGGAGGAGCAGGCTCCATGCAGGGAGCCTGATGTGGGACTCGATCCCGGGACTCCAGGATCACACCCTGGGCCTAAGGCAGACACTCAACCACTGAGCCACCCAGGCATCCCGATAAACTCTAAGATTCTTTATGTAAAATCCCTTGCACATGTCCTCTCCTGGCAAGGAAAAATGATAAAGCCAAATTATGAAAATATTTTGTGTCTGGGTCTGGCTTGGGGTAGATCACTTTCCTAGAGTCCAACTTCCTCCTCCTCAACAGCATTCCCAGCCACCTCTCTGACTAGCAATGCTCTACTTATATTGAGCCAAAGAGAGAAGAGGAAGAAGTAGTGGCAGTAAACAGAATGAAGCCCATTTACTGAGATTTCTTGATTCCATGGAAACTGTTTGTCTCGGGGGTAAACTGGGAGTAGCCAACCTTGGTGCTTCTTATATAATTGGGAACCAGCGGTATAAATTTGGTAAATTAATTTATAGCTTGCTATACAGACCATAGGACCAGCCAGTGTTCTCTATGAGGCTCACCAAGCAGCAAGCCAAGGAAACGTAGCTATGGAAGGTGGTCGCCAAAGATGGTAGCCATCAATTCCTCTATTCCTGTGTGTCTCTGTCACTCCTCCCATCAAGAGGCGGTGTCTACTCCCCCTCATCTTGCATGGGGCCTGACCTTGTGACTTGCTCTGAACTATAAAATGTGGCAGAAATGATGTAGTACCAGTTCTGGCCCAGCTCATAAGAGGCCTGGCAGCTTCCATTTTTGTTCTGCTTGAGCCGTAAGCTATTCCCCGTTATTAGAGGAAGCCCAGCTAGCCCCAAGCCATTTAAGCCATCCCAGCGAAGGCACCGTCTATGTGAATGAAGCTATTCAGGATGTTCCAGTTCTACCTGGACTCCCAGTTGAACACAAGAGTGATCCCAGACAACACTATGTGGAGTGCAGATAAGCATTTCCACTGAACCCTCCTGAATTTCTGTCTCTCAGAAAAGTGAGCACTAAAATGGTGGTGGTGTTTTTTGAACCACTGAGCTCTTGGGTAGTTGATTATATAGCAATAGATAACTGAGCCTATCCCCTACAGATAGTACACACAGGTTTTCCACTTAATTTCCACTTCCTTCATTTCACTAAATGTCAAAAGAAGGATTTTCCATTATAAGCCTTTCTTGGATCTCTTTTCTCACCTTTCGAGTCTTCTTAGCTCTTCACTCAAAAGGTTGTGCAGCTCCAGCTTTTCCAGAATAAGTTCGCACTGCCTCTGGTACTGCTCCAGAGGGTTTTCAGGAAAGGAAGTGTGGAGTGCATTCACACCTCCCAGCAGTGCACCTCCCTGAAGGGGTGAGAAAATGGAAAGTACCAGGGAGAGACACCAGGTCAGCCTGCATGGAGGAAGCACACACCAGAGACCACTGCTCCCAGATGAGCCCTCTCCACTGCCATCTTGGATATTACAATCACCTGGGGCCTGTTTCAAATTTCAGCAGTTCTCAATTCCTGGTCATGAGCACTGCTCCAGGAAGCACATTGTCACTAGTGACATGAGCATCCCTTGGATATGCTGAGAGAAAAGAGTGAAACCCCCTACTGTACATCAGTGGGCAAAAGCAATGCTACTGATACAAAGGATGTTTCCATAATTTTTTCCCCTTTTAAACAGTCTCCTTTGGATATCCAAAATATAATCATTTTTATAACTTCTGATATGATATAAATTGTCTTTTTTCTTACAGGCGTATAATTAGGGTTCAAATATTACGTGCAAAATACCCTTACCTGCATTGAGGATTCCATTACTGACACTGCTGTAATAGCGTCTTCCAGAGTCACAGTGTCACGAAACATCAGGCGAGCATGAGCTAAGAAAATTGCGAAGACAGAAAAATTTTTAATGAGTATTTGAGATGATTATGTAACACTTTATCTGATCCCCCCCCAAAATTATATTTAATGAATGAGCTACTGATAACGAATTCATTTTACTAAAACAAATACAAAAGTCTAGTTTCAACTAGCTTTAAAGTGGTTTCCCGAGTAATGGGCCTAATCTTGCACAGCCTGTGGCAATTTTGGGCATTTATATGAAAAAGTACTCTGGGCTCCAAAAACAAAGGGGTTATAGAAGTATATCTCTAATATTCAACTACTTGTCTTTGCAGTAGTTCTTGTCTTATTATCGGCTATGAATCCCTGACAAAGTACAATGCATTTGTCTTACAGACCTTTTTATTAAGCATATATTCTGTCGTGATGCATTCAGTCCACGTGGAATGTGGTTTTTTTTTTTTTTTTAGAATTATTCTAACAAGGGCTAAATATAAAAGCCAGTATTAGGGGAAAAGTCTTGAGAGGTGCATTAGTTGTATGCATGTATGTAAGGCTCATGCCTTGGGCTGGGCTTTGCTACGGTAGTGGTGGGCTGTGAATGGCAATTAGGAAAAAACAGAGATGCTCTATGGGAAACAATGCTAATCAAGAAAGTGTTCCATCCAAAATGCTAACAGATGGCCATTGAGAAAGAAACATTAGTAAGTAAGGCTTTCTAAATGAAGGATTTCACTAAGATTCCTCTTTCTTAATGATACTACATTCTACTCAATACCCATAATCTGTCCCCAGAAGGATGGAGGTTTGTTCCATAGCTCAAAACCTTCACTTTTTAAGTAACCATGAGCACCTTAGAGATTCTTCTTATTCATCTTTGAATTCATGGTGCCAAACTCCATGCCTTGTACATAATGCACACCCAAGAGAAGTATTATTTGTTGAATGAAATAAACCTTCTGCTAATCGGATCAAGCTTTCCAACAGGCGGATGGTGGTCCGGGCAGCATTCCGGGAATCACTCTGCCTCTGCATCTGGTAGTACCGGAGAAGGACCTGATTACCCACGTCAGACAGTGTGGGCTGTAGATTCCTAATTAGGCAAAAGTAGGTTTTCATCTTTTCCATGCTCCAGAGCTTCTCTGATTTGCTTGGATAACCTGTACATATCAGGTGTTAGGTCAGTAATTTCTAAGAACAGGCAAACACCTTACTTGAAGGGTTCTGATAAAGTTCTTACACTCATTTTTAAAAAGATAACCTCCAGGTTTGTGGCCACTGAAACCTAGATCTGACTCTGCATAGCATATAGTTCAAGAATAAGTAGCTTTAGGATTGAAGTTTAATAAAGGTAAACTTCCTAAAGGGGCTAAAATTACTGATAATAACTCTCATCTGTCCTAGTAATACATAGTATTTGAATAAATCTAATTTAAAGTTTACATTTAGGGGTTTGTTTCATAATTCAGTCCAGTTTTCTTTGTGTACAAGAGGTTAGTGGCAATTATGTATCATGACGTTGCCCCCTTTCATCACAAAGAACATTCTTACCAACTATAATATCATCAGTAGGCCCTTTTCCTTCTGCTCATTATTTTGGGTGCACTAAATGGCTTCTGTTACTGCCTTCTGTGCAAGCGTCTATTGACCATTAGGTAGAGTACCTTGGGTATTTACCTAATTTTCTTCAAAGAGAATTTCATTTGGTTATGTCTACTTTTTCTTTGTTATCTTGAATGATTTATCTCCACGTACCTTTGTTTTCTAAGATAAAGGAAGAAATTATACGATCCCAGTCTTCATTCTTGGTATCAAGCAAAACCAGGATCAGGTCAAATCGACTTAAGAGTGGGCTGCCAAGGGCGATGTTCACAGACACAGACTCGTGTGGATCATACTGGCCTTTGGGGTTAGTTGCTGCCAGGATGGTGGTCCTTGTGTTCAGCTTACACACAAGGCTATTAAAAGAGAGGGTACAATTCACTGACTGTTGAGATTAAAATAAAAAACAAAATTAAACTTGTTAATGAAAAGGGGCTGCTCCTGTAGCTTAAAAATTGAGAGAGACTTGTGTGAAAGAGTATGTGGAATGATACAAGGACATATCACAAACATTAAGTTTGAAGGCAGTACGTTTATAGAAGCCTATCCAGAATGGAAGTTACTACTGAATAAACATTTCTAATGCCCCTACAATGAGCAGATCCCTCTACTGGGTGCTAAGAGGTATACAAAATTAACATGGATACTGCTCTGAAAGAGCTTGTAATCTATGAGCTATAATGAAAGACGACTATGGTAAATTCTAGAAGGATAAAGTTTCCAGGGGAAGTAAAGATGATGTGTATTCATTTATGTGGATGGAAGAGATAATTAAAGAAACATGATCAAGTAGCTTTTGAACTCCTTCATAACATCTGGACTTCTTTAAGTGAAGGTGTCTATCTATCTATCTATCTACATACAAATATACACACATACATGCACACACATGTATTTGTGAAACTGCAGGTGAGGGGTAAGGGTAAGGGTGACTTTGGAGAACAGTGAGTAGTTGAAGTAAAAACTTCCTGTGTGGTCACTTCTCTTGATTTTTCTAAAGTTAAAGAAACAAGAGTCAGAACGAGAGAGAGAGAACGAGAGCAAGAAAGAGACAGAGGGAGAGAAAGAGGGGAAAGGAGAGGGGAAAAGGAAATCAGGAAAAATAAGGATTGATTGGCATCACGTTAGTTTGGGTATAGCTGACAAACAATGTTACATTAGTTTCAAGTGCATAATTTAAGTGATTTGACAAGTTTATACATTATTCCATGTCCACCATAAGTGTACCTATTACCTGTTCCATTACATCTCTACTACAATATCATTGACTGCATTCCTTATGCTCTGGTTTTTATTCCTGTGACCTACTCATTTCCAAATTGAGCTCATTCCCTCTCCCTTTCACCTATTTTTCACAAACTCCCATCTCTCTCCCCTTTGGCAACCATCAGCTTGTTCTTTGTATTTATAGTTATAATTCTGCTTTAGGGCAGCCCGGATGGCTCAGTGGTTTAGCGCCACCTTCAGACCAGGGCCTGATCCTGGAGACTGGGGATCGAGTCCCGCATCAGGCTCCCTGTGTGGAGCCTGCTTCCCCCTCTGCTTGTATCTCTGCCTCTCTCTCTCTCTCTCTCTCTGTCTCTCATGAATAAATAAATAAAATCTTTAAAAATAATTCTGCTTTAAATTTTTTTAGATTTCATTTATGAGTGAAATAATATGGTATTTGCCTTTCTCTGACTTGTTTTACTTAGCATAATACTCTAGGTTCATCCATGTTGTCTCAAATGGCATGATCTCATCCTTTTTATGGCTGTGTAATATTCCTGTGTATGTGTATATACACAGATCACATTTTACTTATCCATTTATCTATTGATGGACACAGGCTACTTCCCTATCTCGGCTATTATTTATAAGTAATGCTTCAATAAACATAAGTGTGCATATATCTTTTTGAATTAGTGTTTTTGAATTACTAGACCATATGGTATTTCTATTTTTAATTTTTTTTGAGAAACCTCTATACTGTTTTCCACAATAGCTATACCAATTTGCATTCCCACCAACAGTGTATGAGGGTTCCTTTTTTTCTACATCCTCACCAACATTTGTTGCTTCTTTTTTTTATTCTGGCCACTCTAACAGGTGATATTTCGATATAGTTTTGATTTGCATTTCCCTGATCATCGCTGCTGAGCATCTTTTTATGTGTCTGTTGGCCATCTGTATGTCTTCTTTGGAAAAATGTCTATTCAGGTCCAGAAAATCCTAACACATCTACCCAAAGTACTAGAATAAACAAATAAGTGAAGTGGTAGGATACAAAATTAGTACCATGAAATCTGTAGCTTTTTTATACAGTAAAAGACGAAATTGCAGCAAGAGAAATTTAAAAAAACAACACCATTTACAGCTGCATCAAAAAGAGTAAAATACTTGGAAATAAACTTTACCAAAGAGGTAAAAGACCTATACTCTGTAAACTATAAAACACTGATAGAAGAAATTGAAGATGACACAAATGGGAAGATTTTCCATGCTCATGAGTTGGAAGATCAAATACTACTAAAATGTCTACATTACCCAAAGCAATCTATAAATTCAATCCAATAAAAAAAATTCAATCCAATCTCTATCAAAATGTCAACATTATTTTTCAGAGAACTAGAACAAATAATAACAAAGAATCACAGAAGACCCCAAATAGTCAAAACAAACCTGAGAAAGAAGGAACAAAAATGGAGGTATCACAATTCTAGATTTCAAGGTATATACTACCAAAGCTGTAGTAATCGAAACTATATAGCACTGACACAAAAATAGACACAAAGATCAATGGAACAAAATAGAAACTCCAGAAATAAATTCATGATTACATGGTCAATTCATCTATGACAAAGAAGGCAGGAATACACAATGAAGACAAGATAGTTGTTTTTTTTTTTTCAATAAATGATGCTGCAAAAACTGGACAGCTACATGTAGAAGAGTGAAACTAGAATACTTTCTAAAACCACGCACAAAAATAAAATGGATTAAAGACCTAAACATGAGACCTGTCACCATAAAATCCTAGAAGAGAACACGGGCAGTAATTTCTTTGACATCAGTCATAGCAACATTTTTCTTTCTTTTTTAAAAAATTTTTATTTATTTTATTTGACATAAGGAGAGTGAGAGAGCACATGCTTGTGTCAGCAAGGGGCACAGGCAGAGGGTAAGGAAGAAGGACGATCAGATTCTGTGCTGAGCAACAGAAGTGGGGGGCTCGATCTCAGAACCCTGAGATCATGACCTGAGCTGAAACCAAGAGTCAGACGCTCAACTGACTGAGCCACCTAGGTGCCCCAAATAGCAACATTTTTCTAGATATGTCTCCCAAGACAAGGGAAATGAAAGCAAAAGTAAACTATTGGGAATACATCAAAATAAAAAACTTCTTCACAACAAAGGAAGCCATCAAGAAAACAAAAGACAACTTACTGAACAGGAGAAAATGTTTGTAAGGGATAAATCCATAAGGGATTAATATCCAAAATATACAAAGAACTTAGACAACTCACCACCAAAGAACCAAACAATCCAATTAAAAAACTGGGCAGAGGATCTGAATAGTTCTTTTTCCAAAGAAGATATCAGATAACCATCAGATGTATGAAAAGCATCATGTTCTTGAGGAGCAACAGGGAAGGACAGACTAAGGAGGTCTGGGCAGGTAAGATGGGGAACTGTGGACATGAGGAGAGGCATGCAACAGAGCAGGGGTGCCGCAGGTATGGATATGCCATCACATAGATACTGTTTTTAAACTTATTAATGATGGGCAAGTCCTCAAAATAACATGGCATATTCATTAACAACAACAAATGTAGGTTCTTTTCTCTCTATAAAGTTGTATACTCTTCATTCAATAGCCATTTTTAGTTATAGTGGCATGTCTGCCTCTCAGCAGTCACAGCCCAGTGACATCAGCAAACATGTGCTACATTCGTTAATGTCTGATCTATTTCCAGTTGGCTCTAGGGATCAGACCATGCTGTAAGACAGAAAAAGTTTGAGAATCTTTATTTGTGGTAAAGACACTTATCAAAGAGAACGACAAACAAGGCACTAAATCCCCCTTTAAAACCAAATCCCCTTTTAAAAAATTACTGAAAGGGAAAAATGAGGAACAGACGGTCTACATCTTATAATTTATGTGCCAGAATGGGTTTGTAAAGGCAGTTGTTTGGAACCTGGAATCCAGTTTGCCAAAAAGAATGTAGTAAATTGTTCCTAACTAATCCCACAAAGCACATTTAATCCATACTGAAGTGAGGCTGTTTGCATTTATCATAGAAAAGGAATACTGCTGGAACACTGGCAATGAAGCAAAATACAACTGCATATAAAGTGATACTTAAAAAAATTATTTTCAATGTGAGGTGAAATTGACTGTTCTTCTCTCTGATTGACAAATATTTATAAACCATTTCCTGTTTTTGGACCAGACTGAGAATTCAAGAAGGTGTAGTGGTCCCTGCCCTCAGTTAGTTTACAAGAGAGCTGCTGTAGGACAAGGAGGTCCTATACGGCGCCTGCCAAGCAGCAGGATGATGGCATCCGTGTCAGCATTAGCATCAGCAAAGAGACCTTCTAAGGAGACTCCTGAGTATCTATGAGGTATACAATCTTACAGCTATGCATGATGATGTGAGAAGGAAAAGGAACCGGCAAACACAGAAAGAAGGTGGTGAATTATTCCAAATTGGGACAAAATGAAATGAGTTAGTGTAAGGAAGGGGGCCAAGGACAATTCACATGTGAAGAAAAAAGGCTGCCTCATTGGCAGTTAGTGGAAATGTGAGCAATGAAAAATAGAGGCGTGGTCATCTGAAAGAGGGGAAGGTAGTATAAATGCCTGTGATACAAACACTACTGCATAAGAACAGATATGCAAACACAGTCTAATCCCAGGTACTTTGTGCATAGTGGTGGCTTACTAAATAACTACTGAATGAATGAACTCATGAATTTGTGTAAGGTAATGGTGATTTTTCCAATCCAGTATGACCTCCACCTTTTTTGATAACAATAATAAAGGGAACTACCATATCTGTAACGGCAAGCATTGTGCTAGGCTGTATGTATACATACTATCCCTAATATTCACAAGCACAATTCACAATTCACAAGGTAGGTAACATATCACCAACTTAGAAATAAAAGTAGAAGTTAAAAAATGTTAGTAACTCCCCCACCAGTGAGAGCAGCAGAGCTGCCATTCAAACCCAGACCTGCTTAGCTCAAAACGAGTACTCTTTTATTACCTGTAGACTGTCACCCCGATGGTTTAACATCTTAAACAGTTCCTGTAGTCTTAGAGAACCTGCCTGATGGTTTAGGTGTTTACTGACTTGCCATATCTTTTTCC